CATCGTCAACAAGTTACTTCGATCAATGGCTGCACAGGCCATGTCTAACGCTCTGTATTTTTCCACCGGATCATGTGCTGAGGAAGAGTTCCATCATTATGGTGAATGATTACAGTTTTCTTCTGTTATGGCCAAAGCCTTGAGCAAAATGTTTAAAAAAATTTTTGTTGTTGTTGTTGATTTTGATTTTTTGGTTTATTTTTTAAGGTCTTGCATTAGATAAATATACTCACTTTACCTCTCCAATAAGAAGATACTCAGATATTATAGTACATCGATTACTAATGGCAGCCATTTCAAAAGATAAGAAAATGGAAATTGAGGAAAATTTATTCAGCAACAAAGATCTTGAGGAGTTATGCAGACATATCAACAACAGAAACCGAGTAAGGGGGGGGTTTTAATTCTCTTATCCATCATCTCCTTTGCTAACAGAATATCAGCTTTGTTGTGTAGTGGAATGAAGTACCATCTATTCCAGCAAATTAAACTCTAGAATTATTCCAATCAATAAGAAAGATGAAAAATCATAAAGTTTGTTGAGTAGCTCTCAATACATTTACAAATGTTCTAAAATACTTAATGCGGATTTATGAGATTCAACCAGTCAGATTTTTTCCCCCAAAGTGTAGAAATGTGAAAGATTGTCTATCATCTTACTACCCAAAGATAATAACAATTCTAGACAATGCTTTTTATTTATAAAAATATCCAATCATACCTGCTGTTTGAAGTAGGCCTTTTTTCACTTGTTATTGATAGCACACCATATCAATATAGTTACATCATTATTTTAGAAACTACCTTGTATTTTATTTCAAATTGTTTCTATTGACCATGTTATACAACTTAGATAGAACTAGACCATTTGGTGATACATCAGATTGGAAACTACCTAAATGTTTAATATTATCTGTATCCAGTTGGAACACTAGTTTGATACTATACAATCTTATAGCCACTACTCATGTTGGTTTCAATTAAAACTTCAGCTCCACAGTTGCACTAGCCACATTCCACATGCTTAATAGACATGTGTGGCTAGTGGCTACCTATGGGACGACACAGATACAGAATGTTTCCATCCTTTCAGAAAGTTTGGATAGGCAGCAGTGTTCCTCGAAATCTAGTTTACAACCATCCTTGTGTATACATTTTTTATAGACTTCTCACATTTTGCCTGGATAAATTCCTGACAATAATGAATTACTGAATCAAGAGGGATACACAAAACTTTCAGCTTTTGTTTTTAATTGGAAGATAATTGCTTTATAATTTATAGTGAAATAAATCAGATAAATAAATCTGCCATACATCAACACAAATCAGGCATAATTAAAACTTTCATACCTATTACTAAATTGCCCTCCAGAATATAGTTCTAATTTGCACTTCCATCAGCAGGATTTGCTAGGACAGACTTGAAAAATCAGGTAAGACATAGACCTGGGTACTTTTCCTCTTCTTGAGTGAACTATAAACAGCTTTTAAATAACAAACAAGTAGTTTAAGAATTAATTTTCTAAGACATTTTTGAGGGCTTGATAAAGGGTCTTACAAAATTGATTTAATTAATAATAGAGAATATTTGTATTAATAGTTTTCTAGAACCTAGCCTTTTAAAAAAGACATTGTTTCTTTGGGACTATGAATCACATGTTTCTTCTGGGGTGTCAAGAATCCATCATCATGTTTGGGGGTTGTGTTTCTTCTTACAGGCAGCACAACATTCTCAGAAGCAGTCTACTGAGCTCTTCCAATGCATGTATTTTAAAGACAAAGACCCAGAAACTGAGGAGCGTTGCATATCTGATGGGGTCATTTATTCAATTAGGACAAATGGTGTGCTTGTGTTTATACCAAGGTATGTTATTTCTAACACAAAAGTTGTTATGAAGTCATAGTTAACCTTAAAGTATAGACACAGTATAGAAATGGTAGGTTCCATCCCTGGGTTGGGAAGATCCTTTGGAGAAGGGAAAGGCTACCCACTCCAGTATTCTGGCCTGGAGAATTCCATGGACTGTATAGTCCATGGGGTCACAGAGTTGGACAAAACTGAATGACTTTCACTTTATAGAAATGGTACATTAGATATCATTCTTTAAAGCACTTACTTTAGCAACTGTTTTGAAGTTACCATATGTACATAATGTAATATATAATTCATTGAAAGAAAGTGAAAGTGAAGTCGATCAGTCATGTCCGACTCTTTGCGACCCCATGGACTGTAGCCCACCAGGCTCCTCCGTCCATGGGATTCTCCAGGCAAGAATACTGGAGTGGGTTGCCATTTCCTTCTCCAGGGGATCTTCCCGACCCAAGGATCAAACCCCAGTCTCCTGCACAGCAGGCAGACGCTTTAATGCTTTATATAATTCATTATATAAGTATAAAAAAAGAGATCCCTGGTAGCTCAGATGGTAAAGAATCTGCCTGCAATGCAGGAGACCTGGGTTCAATTCCTGAGTCAAGAAGATCCCCTAGAGAAGGGAATGGCAAACCACTCCAGTATTCTTGCCTGGAAAATTCCATGAACAGAGGAGCCTGGCAGGCTACAGTCCATGGGGTCACAAAAAGTTGGACACAACTGAGCGACTAACACTTTCACTCACTTCTGTGTAAGTCATCAGATAGTTTTATTTTTTCTTTAGCAAAACATTTTGTTTTCATCTGCTCAGTGAAGTAGATATTTGGAGGTAAATCAGATGTAAAGTTCGTTTTCTGCTGGGTTTGTTTGTTTTTGGAAGTTTTTTGTTGTTGTTTTGAAGCTGTAAGAAAAACTAGCGTTCTAGATAAGTATACAAGATCTGCATACTAAAGAATATACATCTCTGAATTTTTACTCTAACAATAATTCAGGTTTGGGATTAAAGGTGCTGCTTATTTAAGAAATAAAGATGGTTTGGTGATCTCATGTGGCCCAGATGGCCATTCTGAATGGAAACCAGGATCCCTTCAACGCTTTCAAAACAAAATCACCTCTACCACGACAGGAGGGGAATCTGTTACGTTCCATTTGTTTGACCATGTAACAGTAAGTCTGTATTTACATTAAGCATTGCTTTCCATGCAACAAGCAAAGAATGTGACTTAGTAATATGCATTTTCTCCTCTATGATAGGTGAGAATATCTGTACAGACCTCACGTTGCCATTCTGATACAATACGGCTTGAAATAATAAGCAGTAAACCACACATGACACCAGATACAGAACTTTTTCAGCAGAGTTCCCTCTTGCTAAAGAGTGATTTAGTGAAAGAAGTAACTAGATCTGTGGAGGAGGCTCAACTTGCTCAAGAAGTCGAAGTAAACATCACTGAAGATTATAAAAAATACTGCCAAACAAAGGGAAGAAGCCTGTATACACTTCTGGAGGAAATAAGAGACCTAGCTCTCCTGGATGTCTCCAACAGTTATGGCATATGAAACTCTTCTGACTTCATTAAAGGAGAACTTTGTCTTACGTGAATGTTTTACCTTCTTTTAAACATCAAGGTAAAATTTTCTGTGCCCTTCAGTGCCACCCAATCCCTGATTGGCGGCGGGGGGTGGGGGGTGAGGAAATTGGGTAGATATTTCACGTATTTGTGTAATGTTTTCTTATCACTAAGTTGCATTAAAATTCAATTAGGTCATTATGGAAAGTGGTTTTTCAGAGATACTGGATCACTGAATCCTGGCTCTGCAAAACAGGTTGCCAGTCTTGTTAATAAACCCAGAATTTGGCTAGCTTGTCTCAAGTCAGTTCTTTTATTGCATTAATTTTCCAGTAATTTCTACACTGGGCCATTTGGGTCACAGGTCCCTCTGACATCTGCCAGATTAACTTTTCAGTTTCCTTCAGATAGTAAGACTCAGTCCTGTCCATGTGTCCACTGTAAAACCTTTGACTTTATATTTGACTCAGTCTCCCCTGCTGTCCCCAGCACCAGTTGGGGTTGGGGCATAGGGAGTGGGATGGGATGCACAGGGTAAGGTCTGTTCTCTCACACCTCCCTTCCATCCTCTCACTGAGCTGAGTACTCCTCAGATGAGTTGCCCAGGCCTTGCCCTTGCTGGAGACTTATTACTTAGCACCATCACTCTGCCAGCCTGCCCCTCGCCCCAGAAGCGACCTTCCCATGTCCTGGTTTGTAAAGACTAGCTTTGCCTTGCCCTCTCTCTCGTGGGAATCTCCTAAGAACCAGACAAACCTTTAAACTTGATTCTCAACATAGTACTGTCTGTAATTACCCCTCCACCAAGTAAGTAAACTGAGGCTGGAAAAACTCCAACTAGGTCTTCCCACCAAGTGCCTCTAACACTTCAGCCTTATATCCACCATTCCCAAATCTCTTTATTTCCTAGATTTTCATTTCTATATTATTGCACATGTTCTTCCCAATCCTTGGCATCTCCACCAATGCAGGATCTCCTGTGAATCCTCCCGAGGTGCTCATGATGCTTTGCAAGTTTCTCTCCAACTAACTAGTCAGTAAGGTACCAACCTTCCCTGGTAGTTCAGTGGTAAAGAATCTGCCTGTCAATACAGAAGATACGGGTTTGATCCCTGGTCTGAGAAGATCCTCTGGAGAAGGAAATGGTAACCCACTACAGTACTGCCTGGAGAACCCCATGGACAGAGGAGCCTGGTGTGCCACAGTCCACGGGGTCACAAAGAGTTGGATACAACTTAGTGACTGAACAACAACAAAAAGGTACCAAGGAGCACTTGAACTTCCCTAGGACCTGTGTGGCAACCCACTCCAGTGTTCTTGCCTGGAGAATCCCAGGGACGGCGGAGCCTGGTGGGCTGCCGTCTATGGGGTCTCACAGAGTCGGACAAGAGATCCCCTGGAGGAGGAAATGGCAACCCACTCCAGTTATTCCTGCCTGGAAAATCCTATGGACAGAAGAACCTGGTGGGCTACAATGGGGTCACAGTCAGACACAACTGAGCACATAGCATAATTAAAATAATACCAGATTTTAAACAAGAATCTGAAAGTTTCTACATAAAGTTTCTACTACATAAAGATTTTTATTCAAAGCAGACAAAATGCACTGGCACAGTCATCTCAAATTTGGAAGATAGCAGCTTAACAGATTTTCTCATTTGAGGCCTATCCAACTTCAGGAATATTTCTAGATGAAGCCTAAGTAACTACTGTAAATTTTAAAAGGATTGGTCCAGTTGCGTTTTCTCGACTTTTAATTCCTCCTCTTCATTTACAGTACTGGCAGCACCATCATTACGTGGACTATCTAGAAGGTCTTTGTTAAATCCATTTGATTCTTCCTCCTTTTGCTCCTCACCTGTACTACCCTCTTCAGGTGGCTGTGTGCTGGGCGTGTTCACCAACAAGTCTGCAAGAGAAACCATTATTACTCATTACAAGCACCGGATCCAATCTTACCTAGTACAAACTTCTTCACGAGTCTAAATCAATAAAAATGAAATCTATGATCATTTTAATGTTAATTATGATCCCTTTCTTCCAAATAAAGCCATTTCTATACATGTATTATTATAAAATTCATTAAAAATGCAAGTCGAACTCAAACTTTTGAATCATAGCCAAATACAACTGTTCCCATTCAAATATTACAATTACTAGATAGGTTTTTTAAAAGTCAAATGTTCTTATGAGATATATAAGTGATCTATAATAAAAACTATTTAAGGTACTCATTTCTACTCAGAAAATTTTAAAGTCATATATTACAAATAGAAGATGTGCCTTAAAATACTTTTTGCCAGGTAAACTTTGATAATGACAGCAAGGAAGAACTGCCATCAACAACAGTTCTATCTTCATGTATTTTTCACAAAGTAGTATAAAACATCCATTTGTCAGGTTAAAAATTAAATTCATTCTAACTGGAAAAAAACTTAAAACACTACTGAATAATTTTCACTTGAGAATTTCATTATTTTGGGTGAAACTTGTTTTATAACATGGTATCTTCACTACTATAATTCTTATTTTCCCAATTCAAAAGGAAAAACTGGATTGGAAACTGACAAAGATAAATGTGGTTAGGTGTGCTTTATTCAAAAGCAATTTGCAATTATTTTTTAAATACAGCTTTACCAAACCTGATTATCCAGTTTCCAAACCCACAGTCTGTTTTAAATCAGCAAATTTTAAGGCAGTTTTAAAAGATAAGGGAATCAATAAGAAAGCAAATATGACAGCTCACAACAGAAGTGACACAATGCAATAAAAAGCATTTGGGGACCTATTCATGTCACAGCAAATGGCTCTAAAGTCCTCAATGGGTGCAGAGTATTTTATATATTTTATATGTTAATAACAAAGCAGTTATTATTTTAATTATGATCATTAAGATAAAATTATATGTCACATGCTTTAGGGAGTCAGGGAAGAATATGTTTTTGAAAGATCCAGAATCAATTTTAAGTGATTATTAGAATAACTTTTTAACAAATGCTCAGCTACCCAGAAAACTGTCTTGAACTTGTATTCTTGGTGGATTCCAACTAGGTCTCTTGCTCACTCTCTCTCTCAAATATACATAAATTTAATATACTATACCATATTTTTCTATTTTTCGAGGTATTTTATTTGGAGGAATAGCGAAGAAGTTAAAATTTGTAACATGCCCTTGATATATGAATGGTAGCACATAAAATGCAGCATAAAATTTACCGTTTCCTAGGGACTGACTGTTACTCAGTAGCTTTGCCTGTCTTCTTTCCAAGGCCAGTTGTCTATTTCTCTCAATTCTTTGTTGTTCTTCTTCTGTTAGGCTTCTACTTGACTCAGAAGCAAACTCTACACTTTCATGTGAGTTTGTCAGAAAGGGATCTAATTCAGTAGCAGTTACATCATGGCCATTATTTTCCTCTACTTCATCTGCAGTAGAAAAGAAAAAGTGTATCTGTAGTGTTAAACTAGTTAGAAAAAAGAGTTTCTGCAGCTATTGACTGAAAACCAATTTAAAACAACAAGGTACCAGACGTGAAGAAACAATTTGTGAGGTATGAGAATGTCAGATGCTTGACATGCTTGAGTCAAACAAGTAGAAGGAATATTTAAACTTATTTTAAGTCAAATGGGATACTAGTTTTAAAATATGCATTAACAGCAAAAGTTTGTAGTTGTTAATAAAAGAACTTAAAGAATCCAATGCATAGCCCTGTTTTACATTAAAAACATTTTACCAGCTTGCTACATTGTTTGTATGATATACAGTAATTATTTTATATAGGCTATTTTTATAGAGTAAAACCAAGACACAAAGTGAAAAAGGAAAAAGAAATTTAGAGATCTGTGGACATATTCCCAAGCTAATTTTTTTTTAAATTAAGTGCTCTCTACATTATTAGTCTTAATAAATTCTTAAAGCCCTGTACACCAGTTACTCAAAGTAGGATGTTCCTAAAATGATCCACAAGGGTATGAAAAGTAAATACTAAATTTTCCCTTTATATTTCACTTAGTAATTAAGAAAAATTTATATTTCTTCTTCTAACTTACATTTAGAAGAAGAACTGGCAGTGACAACCTATCACTTATCCTAAGCTACCTTCAAGGCAGCGTGGAATTGAGTCTTCATTTTTTAAATTCAGCATATTAAGACATATAGCTGATATTCTGATGACCCAGTTAAGCAAACTGAAATACTATCTATTTTAACCAAAACAACCCTAACAAAATGCACAAGTGGTAACTTTAAAAGGTTTTTGCAAAATAACAGAACATCTGTAGGTAGAAGATAACAGAAGTATAAGCAAGAAGTAAGAAGATGGCAAAGCTGACACTTCACCTTCTCTTTGTATCATTCACATCATGGAGTTAAAAAAAAAAAAAGATAACTCATCAGATTTGACAAGTGGGGAAAAAAATTCGTATCACCAAGACAACCATTTGAAATATGAATTTACATTTACTCTCCTTTCCTGGGGTGGGGGGAGGATATATATATTGTACAGTGTTGTTGTTGTTTAGTCACTATGTCTAACTCTTTCGTGACCCCATGGACCATAGCTCACCAGATTCCTCTGTCCATGGGATTTCCCAAGCAAGAATAGTGGTGTGGGTTGCCATTTCCTTCTCCAAGGGATCTTCCCAACCCATGTCTCCTGCTTTGGCAGGCAGATTCTTTACCACTGAGCCACCAAGGAAGCCCATGAGCACATTGTACGCAGCTCAAAAAGCTGAATGGATAAGCTAACTAAGCCAGTAGGCCATGCTGTGGGATTCAGAGTCTAACAACTAATTCCTGTCACATATCAAATCCCACGCCAGCATCTCATACCATAAATTGTTACCAAATAATTAAGCCTTGGATTATTTAAATCACAATCTTTTACACCTTCAAAAGCAATTTATAAATAACTTTTGGGTATTCTATATGGAGCCTGTATTTTCTACTACATCTATTAAAAATTTTAAAAACAAAAGTAAACATGTATGGAGCCATCGCACAGAAAATCTGATAACTATACAGACCCTGTCGGCAGGAACCATATGTTTTGATGTATGTGACTGCCTATGGTTGCACTGTACAACTAACAAATGCAATCAATACCAGGAACAGTCACAAAGGTCTAAATAAAGTCATATACACAAGATCTGTACTCTTGTGTGAAATGTGAAGTAGTCCAACATCAAATTATTCTAATTTCCCAGAACCACTTTTTTATAATGGGCATGTATATGAACACTGTATCTTTTCATATATTTTTATTAACCAGCACTACAAAAGATCAATGGGTCATGACCCACAGTTCACAAAAACTCATGCTCTTTGTGAACATGTAAAGATATTTTTACATCTCTTACCACTGTGTATTCCAGATATATCAAAGCACCTTAATTCATTCCTATGTACTATATTATAATTATATACTCGAAATAGCCTAAAGTCAGTCCTGTAACACTGCCGACCCCAACTAGATCCATTTGTAAAAGCAAACTTTATCAAGTACATAAACCTATATTCTTACCATTATTGCTAACAAAATCTTCATGTAAAATAGGGAGATCAAGTCGAATTCGTTTTAAACAGGTCTGAAAATAAAAGACATTTTTTACATTTTTCACTTAGATTTGGGAGAAAGTGGTCACTGATTTTACTCTTAGTTTCAAAAAAAGTTGCTCAAGTAACTACTATTAACTCTCCTCCTCTCTACTAAGACTGCAAAATGAAGACCCCAAAGAGCTACTTAGCCTCAACTAAATATATCCTTATACAATTTAGCATTGTGAATAATTTCATAATAATCTCAACACCTACCTGAACTTCCTTTTTATTTCCCAGATATTCAACTCTGTCAATAAAATCTTCAAATTTCAGTTTAGGAAAGAGTCTATGTGCCCAGTGCTCCATGTGTCTGATTAGGGTCTTCAAGTCCTCAGCCTGGCACATAAAAATAAAAGTGCTAAATAGAAGATTCATTCTCACAAGTGATCTTGTCAGCACATTTCAGAATTGAACAGTAGTACCAAAGTCACTGGTGTCCCTCTATATCTATAAGATTAATAAACTTTTACAAGAAACTTTAAGAAGAAAAGTATGTATTAAGGGCTTAGAGGATTGCAGTAGGTTTAAAACCTGCAGTAGGCTTTAAAAATCAGAGGAAAAAAGAAACCTAGTATGAAAACTTACTAAAAGTTAAAAGATAATCATGTGTCTTTTCAGGACTATAAAGTAATACTTGAAAATAAATTTAATAAAATATGACAAGGTTATCTTTTAGAAATAACTATACAAACTGAGAGGACCCTAAAAATCTGATACAGAGAAGAAAGCACTGAGAATCAGCTCTGTGAAAATATACTCAGAAACTCCAAGGGCAAAGTGCTGAAGACTAGTAAGACAGTGCAAACATTCTCAGACCACAGTACCTCTCTACATTTGAAACTTCAATTTAACATTAAAAGAAATTCTAATGAAAAACAAATTTAATAAACCACAGTAATAAATGAAAAAAGTTCCAAATCCCTGATTTTACTATAAATTTTTTTTTCTTACAGAATTTTAAAATAGGAGAGTGGTTAAAAGCTCTGGATCAGACTGCATAGATTCAAATCTAAATTCTACCACTTAATAGCTGTGTGACTTTAAACAAATCACTTTACCTGTGTAATTTTTCTTCATGAATAAAATGAGATTATACACACTTCATAGGGTTGTTAGAAGAATTAAGTAATACAACAAAAGTGCCTGACACAAAGCAAGCGCACAAATGTCCACTGTTATTGTGATGGTGGTATTTGATCTTGGAGGTATTTGAACCGTTAAGAAGCTCATGGTTAAAACAATCAACTCTACCAATAACTCAGTATATAATACTGAGAACATAATGTCTTATCATTCTCATTCTGATAAAGATAAAAGTTCTTTTAAAGACTCAACCACCTATGACCATCTTCCAGTTGTTGATCAGCCACCTCACAATGTCATGTTAGACCCAAGGGACAGAGAAGAGACAAACCTAAATACAGTGTAAAGTCCCAAATCATACCCGGAAAAAAGGCATCAGTGATGCAACTTTGTGAGAACACAGTAAGAATTTTCAAAGGCAAAGTAGAGGAGACTAGACAGACTCAAGAGTCCACCCTCACCCAGTGAAGGAGTACAAAATATTCACTCTTCGTATAAGTTTATTTATCTTAACAAAGTACTTATGAAAATGATGAAGATGTCACAAATTCAGGCACCAGTTTATCATTACTACCTGAAAATTCCGATAAGAGCAATGAATTAACTGAGCTGGGCATGGTTTTAAAATATCTCGACTTAGGTTTAGTTTTGTGGCAAAACAGAACACAGGCTTATATTCTTCCTTATCGTCCACTGAAACTAAGAAAATGTAATACAGGCTTTTCAGCCTCCTAGGTTTAAAATTTGGGGATTAACTTTTACTTCTGTACCTCCCAATCACCTCCAAGTATTATATGTTGTTCATCCCCCTGCTGTTATTAATATCCGATCTAGGCTATTGCACTTCGTTCCCCTGGGAGTGAAACAGCCTCTGAATAGTCGGCCTCTGGTCACTTCCCTCTTTCCAACTCTCCTAAATGCCACACCAAAATCATGCTCATGTTGTATTAATGTTCCTCTAGCTGGTCCATGAAACAAAAGCCAAGGGTCTGCTCTTAACCACTGGCAGTGGAAGCTTAAAACTAAAACTCAGTTTCCTTCACTACATAATGGGACCAACACCTACCCCAGAGGTTGATAATTCAAGAACATATTTGAAAATCCTTCATAAATTATTACAAAGCTCTACAAAGATATCATCTGCAAAAAAATTCTATCTACATTCTACATGATGCAAAGGAAATTTTTAAATGTTCACTTGTGCAGAGACTGACAGTTCCTAAATGTCTTCAATGTCCTTTCCACATATCAGTTTCTAAAGATATGATGATGAATGACAGGATCTGTGAAACATTCTAAGATTCCTGAGAACATGATAATGGGCACACAGTCTTACCAATATTTTAAGAAACAAAGGTCTAAAATACAAATCAGACATTTCTTACCTCATGACCTTTACCTTTGAATTTTGCCTTCTCAAACATATGCCTTAATGCTGGGAGCCCTCTCTCTGAAATTAATCTGTGAATAGAAGTATTTTTAAATTTCAAGTTTTCTAAAGCCATCAAGGCCAAAGCAAGACCATAAGAAAAAAAATGTTATCTGTTAAACTGAAAAAAATGCCTTTAGAAATATCTGATCCCAAAACCATCCCAACCAAAAGCTTGTAACGTAAGAGGGAAAAGATGATGGAAAGACAAGTAGAAGTGTTTAAGGAAACAGTAAATGTACCTCTCAGCATTCAGCTTGGGTATATTCCTTTTAACGGTTCTCTTCGGAGGTACAGGAACAGACGCTCCTCTCCCTGACTCTGGTGAAACATATCAAGACTTAATATTACTTATTTAAGCCTCACTTATAAAATGTGTCATTTTGTAAGCTGACAGAGGGATAGCTGAACATGGACACCACTTTAGTGTCATGGACCTTCTTCAGGTTCAGCGCCTTCACCATCTTCTCTCTCTGGAGAGGCTGGAGGTGGGAACGGAGGAAAAGTTTCATCTTCAATATGCTCATAATCTGGTATGTCAATCAAGCCATTCTCCTGTGGTTCTAGCATCTTTTCCTCTAGGGGGAAAAAAAGTAAAATGTTTATTCATCCAAGCAGTTTTTCTATTGCACAGTTAAGTTCCACTTGCAGCAAAATGCATGTTGTTCAGTCAGTTAAACCAATTTTCAAACTCACACATCATGAAACAAAGTGGAGAATATAACAGTTACAGCAAAAAGAACCTAAGTTAGAAACTGGAAGAACTGAGTTCTAATGGACAGCCTACCACTAAATAACTATGGGTTTGAGCAAAACATTTTACCTTAACTGTTGAGTTTTCCCATTATAAAATGATTTTAACTTTTCAGAAGGTTTCAAACTGTGGTCCAAATGGGGTAAAACAGGCAGGGTATAAGAACCTCACTTCCACTCCAACCAGAGCTTTTTAAAATTATTACTGGGAATTCCCGGGTGGTTCAGTGGTTAGGGCTCTGTGCTCTCACTGCCGGGGGCCTGGGTTCAATCCCTGCCCTGGGAACTAAGATCCCATAAGCTGTGCAGTGGGGCCAAAAAAGGAAAAAAATAAAAATACTGTTTATACACTAGCTTTCTAGTAAAGTTTCCTTTGAAATGGAAATAATTTCTTGATTGGTAACTTGAAAGAATGCTTTTCATACCATCTCACTTGCCCTCTCAGAAACATCTGACACTTTTGATCAGTTCCTTTTGCTGGAAAAGTATTTTTGTTGACTTCTGAAACACAGTACTCAGCTGGTTTTCCTCCCTTCCCGGACATGCCTCCTAAATTTCTGAGAATTTATCTTCCTCTAACCTGGTTAATAAGTATCCAAGATTTCATCCGAGGCCCTCTTCACTCAGTTATGCACATGACTCTAATTTATAGATGAGTCACTAATTTTTTATTTCTACACAAGCATCAAATCTGAGTCCTAAATCCCGACTTCTCATTCTACAGCTCTAAAATTTTTCAAAGGCATCTATAACTTAACATGTATAAAACCAATCTTCTAAATTTTCCCCATTCAGTAAATGACACCAATCCAGCTACACGTGTAGGTCAGAAACCTGCAAGTCACCCTTAATACTTCATTCCCCTATCCTACTTACCCTGTCCATTTACTTCCAGATTATTCCTTGAGCCTGCCATTTCTATTTCCACAACTACTTCCTAACATTTATTGGATTATTCCATTACTCCTATTCATTTTGCCCTTTCACTCCATTCTTCCTATTACAGCTTAACTAACCTTTGGAAACATCAAGCTAGTCACATCACCACCAGGCTTAAACACTTCAACTTTCTGCTGCTCTTAGGTTAATGACAAAACTCTAAGGCCCTGCAGGGTTTAGCACCTTCCTACTTCTCTACAGACTTCACACCATTCTCTATACTATGTCTATCCCTCAGACCTTTACAAAGGCTCTTCTCTGACTCCCCATCCCTTTCAGATCTCAACTGTCAAATCAGAAAAATCTTCCCCGATTTTCCTAAATTAAATCCTCTATAATCAGCATTCAAACTGTCAAGTAGTAGTTTCATAGCACTATGCAGACCCAATATTAGGTTCTATTTGTGTCGTTGTTTGATAAATGTCTGTCTCCCATAGGAGACTGTAGCTCCAAAAGGGCAATGACAAGGTGGGTCTCTGTTCTCCTCTACGTAGCCCCAGAGCTGATACACAGCTGGTGTTGGAGAAACAGTTCTTGATCTTGGCCCTGCAACGTGAACTAGCAGAAAACCTGGGCAGCTCTACAGTCCCAAAGGAGAGCACACCTCCCAACACCTACTTCAAATATGGCCAAGAGAGGGGGTATAGCTCAGTGGAAGAGCATTTGACTGCAAATATGGCCAAGAGGGAAATGGACAGGGAAGGGACTCTTGGAGGGCAAGGCTGGAACCCTGGAGGAAGCGGACAAAGTGTTGGTCCCAGAGAGGAGAACTGAAGTGACCAACTGATCTTTCTCATTTCACTGCCAGCCAGAACAAGTAGCCCAAGAATCCTCACTATCCAAATCCATGTTTTTTCCTGAACTCAGATATTGAGAGTTACTTTTACTAAGTTCAGGTGATGCTTTATCCTAATCTATCAGATTCCTGAGTTTTGGATAACAAACATGAGAGTTCATGAAAGAAAGATATCTCAAAAAGTTATCTGAATCTGTTCAGTTCCTGAGTTTGGACAGGGAGAGTTCTGATGGCAATGATACTTGACCCTTGCAATTTCCACCTATCAGGAGGGTTAATAACTGCGATGGACCACTAAAAAACAAAAATAATGAAAAACAATTGTTGATGGAAGAATGAAGAATTTCACAATTTCCCCGAAACTGTAAAACTACTAGAGTCAGATGATTTCCAAAGTCTCTCCAATTTTAAATTTCCAAGACAACAAGTACATAAAAACAAAACCAAGTTATCAACCATAGATTTTCAAAATTGGAAAGGCAGTTAAAGGTAATACTGAAATTTCTTTGGTTTTTAAGTAAAAATAGAAGATATATTTTTCATTTTCACCAAGAACATTATTGAACAACGTATTCACTGTTGTTCCACTACCTTCTGCCATTTTTAAGGCAAGTTTGTAATTCCATCTTCTCAAAACTTTTTATCTTTTTGAGGAAAGAACAGTTCCAGGTGCCTTTTACAGTCTTCCAGAGAATGGAGATTTTTTTTCCATCAGGAGAATTTTGTACAGACCAAAATAAATGGAAATCCAAAGGTGCAATGTCTGATGGATGAATCAGAACTTCCCAGCCAAGCTGTAACAGTTTTTGCCAGATTATCAAAGAAATATGACACCAGAAAAACAAACAACCCAATCAAAAAGTGGGCAAGAGACCTAAACAGACATTT